ATCGCATCAGGGAGTCGTACTTATGGTTAGTCTTATCTGGTTTTGACAGAAACTTTCGAGCTGTGAGGATGGGTGACTGACCCTCTCTTCCAGGAGGGAGTCTCAGCGGAGGAGGAAATTTTGGGGAGGGTAGGGCGTTGATACTGCCACTTCTGCCATCGTGGCGCTGAACCCTGATTGGGATATTTTTTGCGCGCGTGTCCCAGATGGTTGGCCAGTTATAAGGGAACGTTCATGTTTCGTGGACTCTCTCGCAGTTCGCAAGGTCGGGTTTGAAGCCGCGGCTATAGGACCTATTTTGGCGGACTACTCAATACTTTCTTCGGTGATTTGAGCAGATACTTGTTGTGGATGAAGAAATGACGGCATTCAGTCACCCGCTCGCCCAAAATAAGGTAGGTGCACGGCATCCTCCACAGGAAATCCTTGTCCCCACTCAGCTTTTGATTAAGTCTTTTCAGGTCATCCCCACTCTTCAATGCTGGCTTATGGTCGTAAAACTATGATCGGTTTTTTTTGAATGTGATATGCAAACTTAGGATGGGAGCCCGCACCAGTGCAGGTGGGTCTGCACAAATCAGCATCTGTCCCTCAAATGCTGGACTCTCACAGTGGTAGATAGTTTTCAATAGACATAAAAGATAAAGTTTTCGTCGATCATTCCCTTTTTGGCATGAGGCACGCATTTTATTTCCACTAAGGATTAGTGGCTCATTGAATATGCTGTGGCCTATACAATGACTTGAGGGGCCCATCCGGTGTATAAGTCATCGTTGCTATCATCCCACATGAATCTGTCTTTGGGGAGTGGTAGGTTTGGTTGACCTGGGCGGGAGCAGACCCGGGATGTGATCCCGAACTTTGCGCCTGGTAAGCGTACCACTTGTCACTAGAAATTCCCAGAGAAGGCGAAGCAAGATTGTTTGAAATTTAAGCTTCAACCTCATACCTCCTGTGTCATGCGGAATGTATAATGCGCGCACCTTTATGTCCACCTATAACCAGGGCACGCCGTCGCTTTTTGACAAATTCGTGCAAAATACGACCTCCTCCCCTAATTCCATCCTCTGATACGACCCCCCCCCTCCCTCCCCATCCTACCTACCACTTTCCTAGATTTTCCCAACTTCCTACCACTTTTTCCAGTTTTTCCGGCATTTCCCGAAAAATTTCTAGTTTTTCCCCAAGAATTTTGCTGTCGAGCAGGGGAAGGAGGGTCGTCAGGAACTAAATATTTTTCCCAACTATCGGAAATAGTAGTTGTACAGAACGCTGGCGGCGACACCAACTAGGAAGGGGACTGCAAAAAGCCAACAACCGAGAAGAAAAGTTTTTTCACAGGCGAGCAAATTTCTCTCAAAGGCACATACGACGATCCCCCCCCCCCCCCATCCAACAACGAGCAAATACGACCTCTCCCTCAACGATGGCGTGCCTTGCCTACAACTCCTCTGGAGGTAAGGATGGCCTGATGAGAGTGCGTCTTGATCAGGTCTCGCTTATCAGCACGGGGTTAATACCATGAGTGCTCCCGACAAGTACACCCAATAGCTCCATCTTTTCTGGGTTGGCCTATTGGTATCATGCTCGTCTAGGAAGATAGAAAGCCGACCTTCCTTTGGTAGGTCTTTAGCATTTATTGTGCAGGAAAGCCGAAGTGCATTCAATGTGTTACAGCGATACTGGTTCGAAGTGCAGTCCATGGCGTATCCCATAAAGAGATCCAATAAAGTAAAACCATCTCTCTACAATTTAGCAGGCTCATCTTCCGCGAAGATGTGAAGTGCTGCACCATACAGCGGACTGCGGCAGGCCATTTCTTACAATGGGATCCCCAGCAAGAGGGGAAAGGGTTGTATTTGTTCTCGAAGAATACAGTTGCCGAGTTTCCTAGCTTTTTCCTGTTTCAGCTGGGCTGTATAATGGTGTAATATAGTGTGCCATGAGGTGCTGAGGGGATTCCAAGCCGGGGGTTGTTTTTGGCGAAAATAATTTCCAACGACAGGACCTTCCCGTGTGATGGGAGCAATTCTTTATACGTGGTTGAGTGTGACTTGAGGTAGTTTCCTTAATCCTAGCCCAAGTTTCTCTGTTCTAACCCGATCCCTTGGTTGCGGGAAAGAGAAAAAGGGGTAGGAAGCTGCTCCCTTCACTGAAGCATTGCTGTTGATTTTTCGCAATTGGTGAGGGAGCGCGGCGCCTGGCACGGACACCGTTTAACGCATAAACTACGCCCTATATAACTGGAGAAATGCATATAAGAAAACATTTATGTACTCCATAAAGATTCGTAATAACGAGGTGATTAACAGATACAATTACAACAACATATCAGTTCCGATTGAAAAGACCCAGTGTTCCTGACTTCTTCTTGATTTTGTCCGTCGGCGAGTTTTTTCCCGAATTCTCATTCGTCATCGACAGGGAAGTTTTTGAGTCACCGATGCTGCCCCTTCGAAGATCGTCCACCTTAAGCAGAAATCGAAACAAAATGAAATTTCTTAAGGGAAATCAAATAAACAACAATATGGCTACCTCTGGCCGAATATGGCCTCATGGCTACTTTCACATGATCATCTATAAGTCTACGGGGCAATGTGGAGCGGTTTATTATATTAATTAACGAGCACACGTCCGGAGAGGGGGGGCAGGGATGTAACTTAAGTAAAAAAGCGTAAAATTAACCGTTTCTAGCAGCACATACAATTGCACCTCATCTCCATTGACTGGAAGCAGATAGTTGTGTGTGTGTGTGTGTGTGTGTGTGTGTGTGTGTGTGTGTGTGTGTGTGTGTGTGTGTGTGTGTGTGTGTGTGTGTGTGTGTGTGTGTGTGTGTGTGTGTGTGTGTGTGTGTGTGGTGCGTGGATGCGTGCATAACGACAACTCTGGTCATCTGATCTGCATTCTCTGAAACAATGTTATTGAAACCGCTGGCGAATGAAAGTTTTCATATCTCATTCCCCACACTTTCTACTACATCACGGCTACGCCTGAATTTCGGGTCTTTCTTTATATCTTTTCATTTTCTTATAGCTTCATTGCTTTGCTTTATAACTTCTGAGTTTTTTTTGTCACTGTGCAATGAGTTTGTTCTTCTTAACTATGCGGCGCACCTTCTGATGTATTTGAATAAATAAATAAATAAATAAATAAATAAATAAATAAAGACTGAGCACAGGGGAAGGCATCGCATGTCACTACGTTGAGTATGCGCGACAAACGGTCTTAGCTGCGCCGTCCTGCAGACGCCTGATTAAGATGGCTTGACTATTCCAATGTGAACTACTCAAAAAAATTCCGCAAAACAGTTTAGGTGCCTACCTCACGTTAAGCTTTCCAGTTCTTCCTGCGCAGTTCAAATCTTCCTTCCTTTTAGATCATGCTCACGTACTCCACCTGAAAGGAAAAAAAAAATAGGGATTCCAAAGACCACATAGGCAGTAGAAAACAACGGGACTCAGATTTCAGACTGGGTAAGCGAGGCATGGGGTAGTGCACAGGCTGACAGCGCGATGCGGTGCGACTGATGCGCAGGGTCCAACATCGGTGGGATCCAACATCAATGGGAGAATCCCCAGAGGAGACCGTACTTGCCCACCGGGTCGCAGGGGAGGAAGAGTCCTATCTGACTTTGACGGAAATTCCTGCGAGCCGCGAGGAAATCTTCCGGTTGTTAACCCTCCCCCGCCTTGACTGTCGGTGACGCAAAACTACCTTACAGTTACTATTTCTGAATGTTGAAATCATGAGTCGATTTGTGAAGACCTAAACTTGCTCAAAGGTACTTTTCGCTATTTTTGAGAAATTGGGAAATTTTCTGGCAGACTGGGAACTGGGGGTAAGAAGCTGGGAAATTCAGGAAGACGGTAAGTAGGATGGGGAAGGAGGGAGGGCGAGGGTCTTACTGACCGCCATTTCACACTTCACGATGCTGTCCATGCTGATTGAGTCTCCTGGTCTGTACCCTCTCGCCGAGACAGTGACTCATGGCCCAAGCAACCTCAGTCTCAGAGCGTCAGATCATTGGGGTGAGCGCCGTAGTGACCCGACCGGCAGGGATTCAATGGGTTAGCGAGTCGAAATTAATGCTATAATTTCTTTTCAGAGTTCTTTTTATACCCTCGGAATAGCTCATTTTTGTGGTCAGGTCCAACGTATGCATAACGAATCACAGTAAGTAGGCGTGGCAGCTGCTCAAATTGCAGCTACCACGCCCCTCCGAAGTTCAGCTTAACTTGCTCACCCTAGCAGCTCTTTCGTTGATCTTGGCTTCTCTTTCATTCACTCGATCAGCAAACGTCTGAAAATTTGGGTGTTAACGAACCAACGCTTTCAATAGGGGATTGAGGTGATCTGGTGAAACAAACCTTTTCGAACGCTCGTTTCTTCTCGGCTAATTCTTGTTCTTTCTTTTTTCGATCCTCCTCCATCTGTGTGAACGGGTCCCTGAAAGTGTGAACCTCTACTGTAGGCTTTCCATGCTTGGAAAGCGAAAGAACAAGGTTCGCGAGATGAAATCGAAATCGAGCGCAGTTTGGCTTTATGAAGAGGCGGGCGGGGGTGGGGCAAATGCTACTAAGCGAAGCTTACACGGACCTTTGTGAAGACTTGTAAACAACTGTAATTGAAGTAGCTCACTTATACCATTTCGCAGCTTCGCAAGCGTTTACTTACAGGTCTCACGAAAGTGAAACCTGTTAGGACATGAATTATCAAAAAGAACTAGAGGAAGTGCAAAGTGCCCTCCCCAAGCCGAACAACGCTTTAAATCACTTACTTATCCATAACATGCTTCGGAAGCTTGTCCATTTGTCGGAGACGGAAATTCTCATAGTGTACAGATCGTGTCACGTCAATCATATCAATCAAATTCGTTCGTACGACCATATCTCGAAGTGGAATGAAGTCATTGTGAGCCATGTTCTCCACTTCCACCACGCCCCATGGATATTCTCTGAAGTGGAAACAAATGTGGTTTTTCTTAGATGGAAGATCGCAAGATCTGGCTGCCAGTTGGAAGATTCACGATACAGTGTGCGCGACGATTGGCTCCGAGAACCGTAGTGTAGATATAGGTTGGACAAGAGATCACTTGCGCGTCATTCGCACCAGGATGCAATCCATTGGGTCCTGGTACGAATGCCGCGCAAGTAACTCCTTCAACATCGCAGCGTGATACTCCAAAACGACATCCAGAAAATTCAACTGCTATGCATCTGCTCGTGTACCGCACCCAAACAATCGGTTGATGGGAAACCAATCTTTTCGAACCCGCAGGCGTAAGGCTTTGAATGTTTCAAA